CTCATGCGGGGGAAAGAGTCGAAACTCCAACTCAATCTCCAGCTGAAACGCAAACGCAAAGGCAAACTCAAACTCAAACTCAAACACAAAACTACCGTTTGATCGATCGTTTTGATTAGAAATGCAACACATTTCTATATGATCTGTCACACAGGCCGCAAAAGTCTGCTTTGGCATTTGCGGTCTCCGCGGCAGACAAGCGAAATGTTTGTTAAAGTGAAATTAACGTCGCCAGCCAACTGCAGCCAGCAATCAACAATGTCGGCTCAGCTGCACCACCGCCACACAAGCCACGCACCACGCACCGCGCACCACCAAGGCACTCAGGAAAAAAAAATGGGATAATTAAATAAAATAATTTAATTAAAATTTCTAGTAACAATATTTCCTGATTAAGGGGAACCACTTGTTTTTTTCTTTTACAGAGTGTGAAATTCTTTCTCAAGAATTAAAATTCCTTTGCGACAATAATATTTGCTAAATCTGGTGAGAATTTGGTAGCTAGTTATAAATTGGAAAAGCAAATATTTATGTGTTTATAAGTTGCTCACCAAACTTTGTAAATATTTTTGTGACGTGTAAAACCCCTGCCACAGTGATCATCATTCCCAACCCAAGTCTGTTTCTTTTTCTGTTTCTGTATCGGTGGCAGCAGCAGCTTTTCCTTGGCATGCAGTTGTCGCCATCGCAGTCGTCGTCGCCTTGTCGCACATTTTCCGCGTGGTTGTCGTGGCTCGTCCCCAGAAGAAACACCAAACCGAGTTAAAGCCAGGGAAAAACAGCTTGAACCCATTCCAAAAACCAAACCCCCTCATTTCCCCTCTCTCTCTTTCTATATCGCTCTCACCCACTCTTAGCCGATATTGCTGTCTCTTTCTCATGTGCGTTTTTGGTTACGGGCTTAATTTACAATTAATGAAATTCGATCGTTTTATTAACTGTACATTTTGCATGATTTATGCCCCCACACACACTCTGCAGTAATGAAACATTATTTTTTTTGACTATTTTCCACTGCTTTCGGTTGATTTCACGTTTTTGTGCCGTTGTCTGTCCATTAACCTTCATTAGGCTTAGGGGGCTATTAACACCCCCCAACCCAAGCTCCCATTCGAACTGTCATTGCTTTTGTCCATTTATGGCGGGATTGCATTGCCCGCGTTGACAATTTCTATCAACGATTGCACAAATAAACTCTATTTATTTATTTGTTTCGCTTAATGAACTGTGTGAAACATTTTCGATGTCTCAAATATTATGCCCGGGCCAAAACAATTGCACAGCACCACACCCCCAACCACACACATAACCACCCAGACATTGCAACTACACTGGTAAAAAGGGGTTACTGAAATTTTATAAAATATATATTTATTTAAGTTGGAAATTTAATGATAAAATAAGCTCATTTTGTGCTTTATTAAGAATTTTTAAGATATATGTATCACTTATTATTGATAACCAGATTTTATAATGAAAGTATAGGCTGCTTTTACTATCAGTGTATCGAAACAAAAGCTACCACGCAACTTGTCTCACTTTTCTGCATTTTTTTTTTAGTTTTCTTGCTGGCCAAGCTGCTCGCGCATTTTTGTGCAGCGCAAATTGTTATTGCACAATTTTCGGTTTTGGGGGAATTCAATGCAATAGCCACAAACTGGCAGACAGACAGCGCACAAAAATACGAAAAAAAAGGCATACGAAACACACACAAAATGCGCCTAATTGTCGCTCTTTCAGCTGTCGCACATAACACTTTGTTTTTGCTAATTTTCTGTCACCTGTGTCGTTTTTTAAATGCATTTTTTCCGCGGCCCCCAATTCAGACAATAGAGCTGCCATGCAAAATAAAAGAAGATGTTAAGAGGCACGTAACTGGTGATTTTTTTTATGGGAGAAAAGAATAAGAATCGGGATCATCTTTGTCGTTCGGTCGTGTGACTCATTTGACACACTTGCAGTGGCTCAGTTTGTTGCCCTTTGTTTTCGGCTACCGGGAATTATCATCTCCGAAGGCCCGAACATCTCTGCTGGCTTTCTGACACCGCAACCGTTAAAATTGCATGCCTCGACATTGGCCATTATCAAACTAAGGCATCAATCTGCCAGAACCAGAGCTGCACAATTGCAAATTGCCGTGGCAATTACGAGTCGGATGGATCGAAATGGATGGAGAGGGGCTGGAAATGGAGCAGCCGGCTGGGAACACGTTTTATTCCCGGCTAGTAGATGATACCACCATTCTAACTTGGCCAGCTGGGCCATTATGCAATTTACAAGATCTGGCTGCAGCGGTTGCATCTCCGGAACTCAGCGGAGCGCACCAATTGTTAATGCGGCTAAATCATTTTTAATACCCAAATTTAAAACGAAATGATCACAAATAACTGGGTTAATTTGTAACGCTTGCCTGCTTGTTTAATGAACCATTCAATCTGAATGGAAACTATTCGGCTCGCCCAAAAGCTTCATGGAAATGTGAATGAAAATGAAATTCAATTAACGCTGTCATATCAAAGAAAGTCAGATAGAACCAGAGAGATTTGTGGGTACAGTGAAACTTAAGTTGCAGTAAGATAAAATAAACTTATTTCCTCTTTGATCAATAAAAATCCTCTTTCTCTCTGATTAGCTGAATATGGATGGAATACAAACCATTAAACCTTTGGAATATCAAAGTTTCCACTACCATGGAGGTCTGACTGTATTTGCCTTTGGATATTTTAGTGGCATCTAGTCAGCGGCTGTCAAGTTCAAAGTTATAAATGTGCCATGGATCGTGCGGAGTTTATTTAATTTCCATGATTTCGTTGTGTTTGCTGGCCGCATACGAAATCAGTTCACAAATCTTTTGTGGGTCTCTCTTTTATTTTTCGGGTCGACATGGGGTTTTCTGTTTCACAGATTTCGTATTTCCTGCGCTGCATTTGAAAGTCGCAATCGCAGAATAATTCTGTCATTGACTCGCCGAGTGGCCCGGGGATCAATTACCTTTCAAAACCAATTTGCATTTGAAATGCATAACGAAATCGTGTGTACACAATGCAATATTTTGGCAGTCACACGCTGGGAGCGCGGAGTTTGGCAGTTGTTCATTGTGTTTGCCAGCTGATTGGCAGGCTTTCAAATTGCGAATCAGGCGGCATCAAATGGAAAATGAAAATGGAAAATGCAGGTGGTTCGTTCGGTGGCACCCACACAACCTTATCTCCCTTTTGGCAGTTGCTCATTATTGCAACAGTCGCAAGTCGTTTTCGGATTTTATATATGTATATTCGAACCTTTTTTTTTTACGGCCAAAGGTGTGTCAGTAGTTGCAACTGCCATTTGCTGTGCGATCACAACGATCAATAAGCTCTAGGCACGCAATCCAGCCACTTCAGTTGGCTAAGCTCGCGTTCATCTCTTGGCGAAATATGGGTTAATTCGGCCCCCAGAGAGTCGTGGTCTTGTCTTATTTTCATTATTTTCATTGCTGATGAACAGTTTCGGTAACTCTTACTTTTGATTAGGCCATGAGTCGGCAGATTTGCGGGATTAATTCTTGAAAAGTAAATCTGGCGATGATTTGTCAACTATTCGAGTGTGTATTGCTTTCTTTCTCGTCTCCGCTTTTATTTTTCTGGGTTAGAAAAACACAAAACTTTGGTGGGGCGGCTTTCGGCTTTCGTTTTCAGATGCGCAGATGATATTGTGTAACATTTCCCCCAATGCTGCACGCTTTTTTTATTGCATTCTGTCAGGCAAGTTGCCACAAAGTCAGCAGTCGTAAATTATGACAGGCCGTCTATAATTAATCAAAGCACTAGGGCCGCCGTCTACTGGGGCAGTTAGTCTCAATTAACACACGCAAATTGGCCGGAGCTGACAGGGTTTGCTTCCCTCAGCCGTGTGCTGTAAATATGCCAGGCATTTGAAAGTAAAAACAGCTCCGCACCTACCGGAATTTGTTATACATTTAGTATACAATGCGAGATGCATTGTTTCTGCTGCTGCTGCTGCTGCTGGCCAGCAACTCGGCCTTTTGTGTTTTTGAGACTCGCAACTTAGCTTAGCTCAGCTCAGCTCAACCAGTTTAGAAATTCTACTGGTTTGAGTGACGGCCATGGCGAAACCTGATGTGCCACATCGGGCGATTTGTATTCCAAATGACGTCTGGTTCCGTTCCGTTGGCCAGGAGGCTACGTATGTCAGCTGATTGAATTGCAAAAGGAGAGATGGCAAACTGCGAGAAATGGCAAACAGGGGGGAAAATGGAAAACCGAAAACGAAGAAGACTCGGGTGCGGTTCGGAAAATTGTGCAAGCTGTTCTGCAAGTTATATGAGACATTTTGCAATCAACGTCACTCGGGTTGGCCTTGTACTTCCTGAACTTATTGGGCATCTCTTCAGGGTTATAGTTAGAAAGAGGCAGAATTCTATTCAAATGAAAGTCAATATATACAGAATACAGAAAATATATACAATATAGAATGAAGAATAAAAGAGGGTATTGCATAAATGGAATTGAATTTTGTTATGGTGGAGATTATAAATTATGTGAAATAGCTATTTGTTTTATCACACAAATCATACTGATAAGATATTTGCTAATCCTGCTTATAACATAGTATCACATTAGGTTTTTTTTGTGCATTTGCATCCCATCACCCGCTAATTTATACCGCATTGCATTATCGATTTGCGTTTGGTTTATGGCCCAGACTCGAGTCAAGTTTTTTTTTAAACTTTTTTTCGTGTCCAGCTGGGCAAACGAAACTGGCCTAGCAACCTTAAAACAACTACCTGCTTTCGGCTGCTCAGCTGTTTGCTTAACCTGGCTTAAATTTATGCATTTAGTCAAGGCATTTATCATGCGAAAGATACAACACGAAATTAGCATACGAAGCGGTGCGTGCCAATATTTTTCGAACAAAAGCCCAAATATTGAAATGATTGCCTTGATTAGTTGACAAATAAACTAACCTCCTTTCCTTTTTTTTTGGCTTTCTCTTTGCAGTTTGGATAGCCTGGGACATTTCGCATGAAAATTGCAGCGAAAAAGGTATGTAACAAATTTCTTAATTAACTCACAGAGCAAACTTTCGCAGCGGAGAGCAAATATGCCAATTAAGTCAATAAATATTTGCCAGCTGCTATTTAAGTTTTGACACCGACCAGCAATAAAGATTTCCAAAAATGCTTTTACATTTTACAAATGGCAGACGAACAGGCTTTTGAGCCGCACAGAAATCATTTATGTTAATCAACACATGTTTTTTCGAAGTCATTGGCTCTGGGGGAATTCTTTTTTTCGCCTTTTTGTTGTTGTCTCGCAGACTTGGCTTTTTTCTATATATTATAAAAGGCCCAAAAAACCAAAACAAAAAACACGAGGAAAAAAATAAAAAATAAATATATACAGAAAACGTGTTTGTGAGTGTCGCACAAAAACAAAATTCAAATTCAAATTGTGCCCCGTTGAAATTTGCGCTAATGTTGCCATTTGTGTTGCTGTTGCTGCTGGGCCAGTTTGAGGTTGCTCGTGTGCTGTTGCTGTTGCCGCTGATGTTGCTGAACGCGGAGAGTTATTTTTGGTATTCCCCACCGACTCTATATGGCCGCCCCATGCCGAACAAGATTTCTGCGCCAGCGCAAACTCCAGAGTCAGATTTTCAGCGTTTCTTGTTTCTAATTCTCATGCAAATATGTACTGCCATGTCATGTCGCTTCTGTTGCTCCCCAACTGTTCAGCTGTTTGCATTTCAATAAGCGCACACACGATTTCTGCATACTTCTCGTTGGGGCAATAAAAGATTCTCGTGAAGTGGCTGTGACTCAAATCAAAGTCAAACATTTCCAAATCGAATTCGCATTAAAATCTAAACGAGTCGCGCCAAAAAAAAAGGGTGGAAAAAAAGTGAACAACTCGAACAGCTACGAAATTTCTGATAACTAATACTCCAGAAAAAGCCATAAAATAAACAAAGAAAGATAAAGAGTTCGCTTTTGCCCAGGTAGAAGGGAAATCAGTCAGTTTGGCCAGAGAATCGAACGAGAGTAACTGCAGAAAAAGGCGGCAGTTGGCGAATATTACGCATACGCAGAGTTAGTGAGTCATAAAAACCAGTCATTGTGCGATCCCCCATCGAAAACCGCACTCGAAACCAAGCTGATTCAAATTATTTGTTTGTCATGAGTATTCACAGAAATCCGTTAGTGAAAACCACACGTTAAAATCGAATTACCACAGGCAATTATTCTTGGTAAATAATCTTTAGAATACATATGTGCATATTTGTTTGCGAACTTTAAGGGGTAATAATCAATCATACTTTATACATACAATGGTAAATTGCAGATAAAATTAACAATACTATAGTAAATCATATTCTTTATAATGAACGAATAACTATGGCTTATGGGTTATAAATTTTGACACCGTTTAATATTGTTACTTTATTATTGTAAATGCCATAGAAAGGTTTAAAAAAAAAATCAGAAAAACCAATTGAAGTTTAAAATAAATCATTTATTCTTTAGAGTTTTTTCAAGTGCACTTTGACGAACGATCAAGCTGGTTTTAACAGCCTGATTATCCTCAAATTGCAACTCAGAGGGTTCTAAAGTGCCTGTTGTGCTGTTGTTCTGTTGTTCGACTCCTCGCCAGTTGACCATAAAGCCAATCCAAACAAGTGCCCTGATGGCCAAGATCTGCTTTAATCTTGTGATTTGTTTGGGTTATGCTGCCTTTCAGAAGGCAGAGCCCCCCGACTCATTACCAATCTCGGCGGGGATTCCATCGCCTAGCGTTAATTCGTGTGCGCTGCTTATGAAGTTGACATGCCGAGCGAATCCAAAGGGCCAAGGCATTATTTTATGGCCTCCCTTTTATCCGGGAAGCGCATAAACTCACACTTAAAATCAATAAACGTAAACTGGGCCCGCCCAACGGCAAATTGCATTCGACATGTGTAAGCGATAAAACTATAAAATAGCACAAACTTATGCCTACAATAAACATAAACAATTCCGGGCGAGAGATGAGCCCTAAAAGCGATCTGCCAAAATCGCAAGAACACAAAAAACCGCAGAGACCGCAGGCGAATTACCAAGTCGGGATTCGGTTGCCTTAGCCATAGAGTATAGAGTTGTTGCTACATGCGTAAACAAGTATTTTTATGGCCATCCCAGGCCACGGGGCATAAAAGGATGCCCCACGGCTGTGGACCAACGAAGGATAGTAATGGAATGGGCCAGGATGATGGGACACGGCCATAAAGGCACTTAATTGCCATTTTATTTCTGCAGCTATTAGGCCATCCAGTCAGTCCATCTGTCTGTCTGTGCGACTTTCATTAGATGTTGCAAGGAACTCCTGCCAGCGAATTGAGCTTCACTTTCGCGTCAGAAATTCGCCATCTGCAGTGGGGCATATTGCACTACATTTGCATCAACAAAAACATCCGCTGCGATTCACTGTTTGTGGTTGATTTCGTGCACTGAGGAAAACATAAGTACTTCACAATTTAGAAAATATTGGAAGATTTGGAAGACTTTTTGTGAGTTAAATAAGTGCTACTAAACCCTGTCCTTATTGGTTCTTAATTTATTGTTTAAATGGTACACAAAGTTGAAGATGAAGATAAAGACTTCTTAATTATTATTTTGTGGTAATATTATTTTTTTTTTTTTTTGTTCTGTGTACCTCAGCTTTTGCTCTTTGGCTGCCACATGCAAAGTGGCTCCCTTCAGCGAGTGCAGTGCCATCCGGCGATATCTTTAATGAAATCTGCATGTTGTGCGCTTTAACAAGCATTCTGCTTGTCTACTCATGTCGCCCTCCCCCGATATCTATGTGTCTCCATCTGCGGAGCCGTGTGCCATTGCGATCCTTTTGTGCGGGGGAATAAGAGATCCCAGATCCCGGATACCGAATACCCAATACCGAATACCCAATGCGGAATAAAAGAACGAAGAGACGAGAACAGAACACAAGACGAGCCTGTGGCTAGATCAGCAACTTAGTTGTGGGGCCGGGCAAATCTTGTTAGCGTAAATATTAACTTGTAAATATGATGATGCCCTCATGGAAATTGTACGAATTGCTGATAAATATCATTAGGTCGCCACTCTCCACCCTTCGCATTCGTATTCTGTGCTCTGTGTTTGGATTGCATTTCGCCTGGCAATTCTATTAAGATCCTTATCTAAAGTGCTTGTACAACCTATTTGTTGTATACGGCCAGTGAGTCTAGTAAGTGTACTCGTAATTGTTTAGCAAATCAGTGGAGAGTCGAAAGCTTAAAGCTGAAAGCATTGCCTCGCCATGATTGTTGCTTTTGTTCGCCTGATTACACAGTAGTAACTGACAATTTGCCATCGATTTTTGTTAGTTTTCTGAGCGGCTAAGCTGCCGGCTACGCCCTCATGCTTATTAAATGATGATCGAATGGCTTAGCCACTCGAAATTGCTGTTCAGAAAAGAGTATTACACAGGGAGAAGAGTGTTCTAACAAATTCTTCAAGCATATGTGTAAATGGTTTTGTATTTAAGGTTGAACTAACTTTTAAGCCCTAAATAAAGGCTATTAGTCAGTTTCAGTTTCAGTTTTCTACCTTTGATCCATCAGAATTCCAAGCAGACACCACACGCTTTGTACTCATAAATAAACTTTCAAGGGAAAAGAACAGAATAGGGCTGAATTAAACCAACTTTTCTTTAGGAAAGCGACCATTCAAGCCGCAACAAAGACGTGACAAATACCCCAAACGAGCTACTTTAAAGCGTGGGAGTTGCATTCACTCCAAGTTCATGGGAATGAATGCACTGGGAATCGATGGCGCCACTCGCCAGCTACACTTCCATTCTACTTGGCTAAGTTGGTTTTGGTTCGGTTTGGTTTACTTTGGTTCGGGGCCACCGTGATAAAGTCACTTAGCTACTCATATTTCAACGAAACGTGCACATCAACTTCCTACTCCCCCAGCATAATCCATATGCATATAATGCTTACACTACAAAAAAAGGGTTGCGACTTAAAAATCATATTAGTATAATTTTCTTATGATTTAGAATCAAATTAAACTCATTTCCTAAAAAACTGATCGTTTATCTTTCGTGTTTTCTTAAATTTTATATTTAAATTGTATTTTTTTTGTTCTTTGTTTCTTTGCTTATAATATTCTATTCAAATAAGAATTTCTTAAGACCACGTTTAATCACGATTTTCCCACACTGTAGCCGATAGCCGCCTAATCGAAATCTGGAGCCCTGCGGGGGGTGGCGGATAGAAGAGGGGGCCGGAGGTCGTAATTTCCAGCTCTCAACAACGCCAGCGGGCCAGCAGAGCGACACAGTTGGACACTGTCTGCTCCAGTTTGCCGACCAAATCGTAGACTTCAATCGCTTTCATGCAGCGGCGCACGCTGCGTATGCGTATTATGTTCGATTTCGAGTTTGACTCTGGGGTTCAATAAACGATTAGATTCTAAGTTGTCGACGTCGTCGTCGTTATGGGTTCTTTTTTTCTGTTTTTTTTTTTTTTGTATAGATGTTTTTGGCTGTTGCTTTTTCCTGGAGGCATATTGCGTGTGCGTTTGAGTTTGGGTTTGCGTTCGCGTTCGCGTTTGAGTTAGCGTCTGCCAAAGTTATCGCGGCTTTTTACACTAAGACGAAGGCTAATATGTCATTTGGTCATTGATACGCGGCAACGGCGTTCGATCGGGAAAGAGTGAGATAGAGCTGGCTGAGTGGGAAAGAGAGGGAGAGAGTGGGACGGTGCCACCAAAGCAAAACGCTTACTGTCAGTGTGAGGCGCGTATAATTAATTGCGCCTATCAATATCGCCGCTTGTGCCTCCCTGCCATTTGCTCTGTTGTTTTGGCTCTGTCTCTCTCTTTTTTTCGGTTTTTTTTTTTTTTTTTTTTTTTTACTTCTGCGTGGCTGCACGCATATGGCCAAAAGTCCGGCACTCCGGCGGTGGCTCCTCAGTTGGCCCCCATGGCCATTGGCAGCCGCTCATTGAGATAAGCCTGTCCGTTTATGCGATTTTCTGCTCGGAT